AAAAAAGGAATCACACCAACCTTTTGAATTTAGACTCTCCAGGTTAGACTGCAGCTTCTTCTCTGGATCAACCAATTCATCATCGTCCTCTGAAACAAAATAAAACCACGTGCAATGTGTAAATAAATATGATGGTTTTACAACTATATTTACCAATCTAAGACAATAATAATAAAAAATAAAGATATATCGACACCATTCAGGTAGTAATCCGACTCTATTCTAGTCTTGGTAAGTAGAATCAAAATTGTTAAAAAAAAAAATACAAAATTGTAAAAACAAAGCAGATTCAAGAAATTATTGCCGAATTTGAGCAAAACTTCTTATATTATACTGGGGAATCTTTCATACCCTGGTCTTCGGCATCTGAGGGATTTTCGTCTTCATTTTCTACATTTTCCCCAACTAAATTGTCTTCAATGGGTTCTAACATAGCTGCCACTCGTTTTTTCGGAGCCTTTTTAATTCCAGGAAGGGTTATTAAATCTGCAGCACGGACCACACGCGACGAGCTGCCTTTGTTATAAGCTCTTGTCAGAGCAGCCTTTACCGCAGGCTGTATGCCGTCCAGTGGATTTGGATGCCCCTAAAAGTGTGTGTATACAATACACAGCAAGACAGACCAAAAAAAAAAAATTAAACTGTCAAGGGTTATTTAAAAATTATCGCTAATGTTATCTTAATTACCAAAAACACCACTTACCTTATCCAAGCTACAGAAACACCCTTCGGAGGTTATAAAACCCATAAGAAATTTTATCGCTTATTTTATCTTAACTACCAAAAATTATCACTTCTCTTTTTGCTTCTAGGATTAAACTCAGGGTTACTTTGGTAGTTACTCCAAAATTTTAGGCAGAGATACAGAAGACAAGAAGACATAATTATTTGACGTTAGTTTTACCTTAAATTTCGACATTTCCACAATGGTATCAAAGTCCTCCATGCTAATAGAGTATAAATCCATGAACTCAACAACTTTCTCGACGGCTTCATCCTGGCCGTACATTACAAAAAACAGTGCATGATCAGCAACACATACAAAAACCCAAAAAAAAAGGAAAAAAAAAAAAGAGTTAAACCTTAGGCAGCATCTTCAAAGGATCAGTCAAAAGCTTCAAAAGAATTGTAAGGTAATCAAGGCGCAAGGTTGCCCTGCCATGCAGAATATAATCATGGTTAAAAGCATAGGCACAAACTATCACAAGTTTAACTTTGCCAAAATCAGTGCTAGAAAAACATTTTTGTAGAATACCTTCCAGAATTTGATTCACGTGAAGCAAGAAGATGGACATGAAGGTCCTCCAGAAGTCTGTAATTCTTCCCCATAGTAGAATTTTTTCCCAGCCAGCCGCCAAATCTATTGTAATTGCGTTCTCCCTGCAAAAGCCAAGACATTAATAGATCATAACTGAAGAATGAGTAATAAATGTACATAAATCTGTTCAGAACTTATTGCTACTTTCAATTAACGGTCGCCAAATTTTTACACCACTTACAGTAAATGTAGGTCATTGCATATCAGAGTTTAGCAGGGTAATTTATGAATATCAAGATACACATCATTTAAGCAGATTTTTTTGCTTCATTCAATTCACAATCACCATATTGACACTGTAAAAAAATATATGTAATACGTCACTAGAAATCATATACTATGAATCAGCAGCAGTACTTGGCAGTAAATTCAAAACGACCAGAGAATAAACAATGGTGAAATATACAAGAGGTATACATAATGTATTGTCAGAGATCAATCACCTGCTCAAATGTTTCACGTTGCCCGTGCATCAAAGCCGCTCTAATTTACAACAAAATATAATACCATCAATGTCATCAGAAAAATAAATAAATACGTAGACAGTTTAAGGATCCAAAATATAGAGAACTTACGGAATTATGGATGATGCAAGACAACCAGTCTGAGAAAGCTGCCATTGCCGGTATCTTCGGATCTGAACATTAACAATATCACCATCCCCAATTGACTCGGCAGCCCGAGCCAGAAAACTCATCCTTTTCATTCCATTATCATCTTTACCAGTTGAACTTGGCCTATAATTGATATAGTTTTCCTGGAATTAAGATAATATTCATAAGCTTCTCAAATGCACAGGCAGTATATTTTATAGTTGCAAGAACTAACAGCCTAACATAGGATGTACGTATTAGCTCAAGATTAACTTTAGAAAAATCAGAAAAAACGTGAAGCAAGTCCAAGTTCAAGAATATAACTGTTAGATAGTCAAATATGCAAGCATCAGGATAAAAAGAAAGATACCTGGATAATAAGAGGAACAAGATCAGCATCGCTCATGCTAAGATCAATTCTCTCATCCATTCGCAACTTCCCACCATTGAAGCTGAAAAGCCTGCATGAAAAAAAAGTGACATTTTTTATCTCCAGACATGAGAAGATGTATACAAACAAGACATATATCACACAAATGAAATAAAAAAAAATAAAAAATGAGAGCTACATGGACTGGGGGCCAAAAAGACAATAGCATTTAACAGACAACTGTGATATACTAATATAGCTTACTTATCAACAGCCGTAAAAGGGGAAATATCTTCATCCTTCGAGCTGCTCTGAAGCCTTTGTTTGATGTCATCAAATTTTATGATAGACATCGAGAGGCTCATATACTGCAGTTGATTGAGGGCCATACGGATATCTCCATTAACTCTTTCTGCAAGTTCCTCCAGGGCAATCTATCATTGCAAACACCATAATAATTAATAATATCAAGACACAGTGAAATTTGATTTGAATGAATAACTATTCAATCTCTAGGTCAGGAAAAGTAGTAGAAAGAACAAGAAGCATCAGGTTTAAGTAATATTGATACATCATTATAATATATATACATATATATATATATTAGACCAGTCACAGCCCTTATAAATCAAAATAAAAGGAAAAGGAATTACAAGTATTCTCAAACTGTAAGTACCTGGTTAATTTGAAGGCCTTCTACATTGGCTATTTGTGATAACCGTTTAGCCATCTACATTGTCATCCACATAATTATTAATAAAAAAAACTAAAAGTAGTAGCAATCACACTATGCAGCAAATAAATTAAAATATAGGAGCAGATTTCTTCAAGGACAAGGACATGGTCACACAAATGTTTAGTATCAACCAAAATTGCCAATTTCATTAAATACACTTGCTTGCACACACACACCATGCTCAATATTCCCAAGGATATCCAGTAGCTTATCACAATCAAAAGAAGCCATACGAACCCCTAGTAAAAATATCTTTTGCATCCATAAGTATGAATAATAAAATAGGAAGAGACCTGCTGCTTTGTTGGCTTCCGGAAGCTAAGAAGCAAGCAGTAGTTTACAAGGCTCTTGAGTTTCTGACTATATCGGTCGTTACATATGCAAATTATAGGAATTTTCGAGATTTTGATGCTGGCAATGAGATCTGCTACTCCACCTCTATCTCCAGCAGACATACCATCTACTTCATCCATAATAAGAACAGTCTTTGGATGCTGAGATCTGGAATAAGAAGTCAGAATTATAATTGATTATATCACAAAGTTAAATTTCTGATAGAACCATAAGATTGGATGCCAACCGTTCCATGTTAAGACCCAGGGATTCATTGCTGACAAGTTCTTTGATAGAATTAGAAGTGCTTCCACCAATTCCCTTCTCAATTTTGGCATCAGCCTTACCCCGACTGTCACTAGCATTAACCTAAGCAGAGAATATACTAATATACATTGAGCATCATTTAACATATATAACTTGAAAAAAAAAAAAGGAGGAAAAGATAAAACATGATGCCTGACCTCAATTACTTGGAACCCGAGCATCTTACTAACCAACTTTGCTGAAGTAGTCTTCCCAATGCCAGGTGTTCCACTCAGCAGAACAGCTTTTTTAGCACTGTTATCATTCTGTTTCTTTCCCTTTCCTTTTTTACCAGTGTTAAGAAAATGGTCATCCCAATGTGCCAACCAATCACGGAGCTGAGTTACCTGCACTCAACCTGATACTGTCACTCATAAAGCATTTATAGACACAGGCTTCACCTTCGAATTTCACTTCTAAAGGATAGTTCAAAAGTACTAAAAGCATACCAGAGACTGATTCCCGACAATATCATTTTGAACTTTTGGCCTATATTTTTCGTTCCATGGCAACAAATTCTGTGCATTCAGTTCACTTTTTTGCTTGGACGAAGTGGCTGCAGTTGCCAATCCTTTAGTACCTGAGCTTACAACATCGCCAGCT